GCATTCATAATCTGCTTCTTTTTGAGGACCAAATATTCCGGGTGTGTGATGTTCTCAATCTCTGGGTCTTCCACCTGATTCAAAACGCTTCAGCATTGTGGTGGATCGGATCACTCCAAACAAATGGCGGCATAATATTAAGCGATACCCTCAGAACCGTACGAATTATTGGTTTTACTGAAAACTCAACTTCAATAAACGGCACATTTTGTGCAAATTGATGGGTAAGTCGTCATTGTGACTTATTATAAACAAGTTGTCCAACTTCATCCGAAGTCATATTTCTAAGATGCGAAATGGTGGCATGCTTTTCTTTTAACATTTGAAGCGTTTCCTCTGTCACACCAGGAAACTGACGGAATGAGTTATCAAAGTGTCAGATTTGACGCTCAAGCATTTTTGCGTTCATCAAAAAACGCTACGCAGCAAGTGAGTTTCCCTTTCGAAGCGCCATCTCGAACAAACCAATTTTGGTGGCGTTCTGAGCAATGCAATTTGAATCCGACACCAATGAGAACGTCTCTACATTGCCCCTCGATATATAATTTTGAATCAGGGTATTTACATTTCCGCCTTGTACACCCTGTTTTAGAGGCAGTTCGCAGTTTCTTTCCTTTAGTTGAAGCTCGTGGCATACGTCTTCGCGCAGTTGTCGTTGGTCAAACTCCTGCGCGTAACTGACTATCTCTAAGCCGTCACCATCCTGCATTGACGATATACGACGCTCAAACCGTTCGTTGATTCTAAGCACTGTTTCATATTTAATATAGAAGCAGGACGCAGTACGGCCCAGGTCTGTTGCATCGAAGCTTCCTGATTTCTCATGGTATCAACTCATTTTAGCTAAATCTAGTTTTTTGGAGGCCGCGATAATGAGCTCTCGGCGGTAATTGATCAAACTTTGATCTTTAGACACAACTTTAAATGTGACTCCCTAGACAAGCGGATTTTTCTTCATACGCACCATAAGATATGTATAATTTAGCCAACCCACGGCCTCATCCACTATTGTAACTGTGCCAAGAACGATTTCAACAATCAAACTGTCAACCAAATTCTCATGAAATTTACCTTTAATTATAGTTTGATTAGTCATATGCGAGATGTAGTTGTTCATTTTAGCATGATGCGTAATGATCACAGCCTCGCCATTTTGCTGGAACTGAGGGCGACCGGCTCGGCTAAAAATCTACTGCACATATAGAATTTTGAGTTCGACAAAGCAGCCGTTTTGTGAATTGGTGTCTTTAATGATGACACAGTTGGCGGGCAAGTTCACGCCCAAACAAGAGTAAACGTACGGAATAGCACTGAAATAACGCCTGCCGAGAAAGCTTCTCCAACGAACTTTTGATCCTGTCGAACTATCTTTGTGTGGTGCATGCCCATTCCGGACGCAAATATCTGTTGTAGCTTCATATTTCGCGAACTTTGTAGCCGTTTCTTGAAGGTTTTATACTGTACATGTCTATTCCGCAAAAGGTACTCAAGTTTACCATGCTCAGTGGTAATTTGCATCATCACTTCGGCCGCTCGGAGGGTATTGTTCCGCCAATCAATGAAGACCATAACTTGATTGCTACTCTTGATTATTTCGAAAGCCTTTTCAAGAGCGACCTCATCCATTCGCTGTACTTGCTCCATTTTTTTTGCGACCTTCGATACCTATGAAGGTTTGCGATAGAGGTACAGGTCTAAACGATGGTCGAAATAGTACAGACCCCTGGCTGTGTTTACTCGCAGAAAATTCGCTAGATCCACATAGCTCTGTAATGCAACAGACAAATCATTAATACGAAGCATGGACTGCATACTTTCCACCTGGCGAAGGGTGCGGGCTACGAGGGCCTCAAGCACCATACCACGATCACTACTCATTAAGTGAATCTCATCAAGAATCAGCAACCTGCACGTCTCCAGAATCTTTCCTGTGACCACGTTCCACTTCTCTGAAGTCGTAATCAACATGTCAGTTTTCGTCATTTCCATTTTAGTCAGTTGCAAGTATCCAGTTAGCTCCCTAACAATAACTCCAAGTGAAGAGGGCCTTCAGGCAAAATTTGACACCCTTTCGCCAGCTAACGCCTTCACGGGGGCAATATAAACTATTTTGAAATCGTTCGACACACGATTGATCGTTTCATGAATGTACTTTCGTACTAGGCGCATAATCGTCAGCATGGCTACATTCGTTTTACCGGCTCCAGTGGGTGCACAAATCAACATATTATCGTTCAGTTTATGCGAAACTGGAAAGACTCCACCTTGTGTAAAGATTCAGATATTCTGCACTTAGAAATGTCATCTGTAAGGTTTCGTCCAGAAAATACTTAGATGTTAGGTGGTACACCTCCGGTAGGTTTTGATCTTTAAAAGTATATAAACCTCATCGTAGTGGGGGTATAGTAGTAAGTACATAAACCTTCTGGGGGGGGGGGGGGGGCAAGATTCGAACCGCCTACGAACGCTTTTGTGCTTCGTAAGTAGTAACGCATAACCGCTAGTCATCGTTGCCTTCATTGTTATTCTGGCGTTCCCCTATGAGAAAGATCCGCCTGATTTCGCACCGTATCGCTGAGCTAGTTCTATTTGTTTTTGCCTTCATAATTCGTCTGTAGTTAGATCATTACTGTCACCGTTAGTTATAATCTCATGGAGCCTTTTCTCTTTCGTCATCATCTTTTTCATTTTAATATAACTCACAGTCGACACACACGGTCTTTTCGGGATTTTTAATGTACTGTTGTGCTAAGATTATTGGTTTGTTGCTTCATGCGACAAAACGATCAAAACCTGCCCGAAATTAAGTCAATGCAATTGAATCCGATTTTTTCGAAAGAATCAGCTGATACCACATCGTCTTCGTCGCTGAATTCGAAACAAATAATTATAACGTCCATAATGTCTTTTGGGCACATATCGCGATCATGTATATCCGCTTTCATGTAACTGCAAATTTTCGTTTTAATCCAACGTGCATCAATAGTCAGTGGTTTTGGGCGCTAGCCTACCAGATTGTTCGTTAGTTCTCTAAACAATATCACTGAAGCGCTATCGGTTTTCGACATCTTCGACCGGTTTCCTGAGCACACAAATGAAATCTTTCCGAAGCCAACTGAGAGAACATTGCATTCGGAAAAACTAAAAGCCTTCACTTTCTTTAAGAACTTATTCTCGTTATCCTCTTTTGAGGTGCTTTGCAGAAGAGAACCCAGCACCTCGCCACAGGGGTCACGCATAAACATAACATGTTCGAAAATATGCTCAAGAATTTTGCTCGAAATAGGTGCCACTAAACATGTGATCGTAATTAGACGTTCATTGCGAAGAACTTGATTTTCCTCAAATATAGTCAATGATTGGATTGTCTGTCACGCGGCTTCGTCAACGTCACCCAGTGCTTCCTGACAGAGAATTTCCGAAATGACTTTGTGATTTCTGATTGTGAAAGTGCCCAAACTTGTTCTTTAATACGTTCTTCAGCTTTTGCCAGTTTGCTTTCGCAGAAAGGCCTGACTTCTCAAGAATAACTTCTTGCTTAATCTGGCAGAACCTGGCGGATTGAATAAGTCCGAGTCGAGGAACCTTTCTCCGCGCCATAGCCAGGACAAAAACAGCCACTCTGTAGGCATATTTCTTAATAAAATTATTCGACGTTCTGCCATCTGAAATATGAAGAAATACACTGGTTAGAGATTAACGAATGATAGCCGCCAAACAGTTATTCAGGTCAAATCGTTTTGTACATACAGACTCGAAAACCATTTGACAACAAATTATGATCCCGGTCACATGGCTGTTCTCCCATTCTAGGAAAGTAGCCCAGTTCAAATTAAATGTCTATGCACTACTTGTCCAATTCGCATATTAGTAGAATCCATTTATCATCAAGGTCGTTATGAGCTTTTACAATTATTTCACTTCAGTCACTTAGCACGTTTCGAAAGCGCGACGAACGATTCACAACTATTGTTTATTCTGATGACTCTTTAGTATTAGCTGACCTATCATTTTTTTTTGTTTAACCGCACTTTTTCTTCATTCAGTAAGCAATTACTAATTTTATATTTTGTAGATCCATTATACTACAAGAACGCACATCAATACTATACCACATATTTAATTATTGCATGTAGGCAATATACCAGTTAGAGCATCTCGAATCCACATGCCGACAGTGCACATACTAATTAAGGTACAAATAGTAAATACCTACCGAAAACTGCACATGAAGGCTTGGCTTCCAATTTTTAAATCAAAAAACCCTTTCAGCCTCGAAGGTTTACTGTTAATGCCAGCACTATTAATCAATGATAAATGCTTGAACAGCTAAGAAGCCAACTCGTCTATACTAGGCGCTAAAAAACTAACACCCCACCTTCGATGACATGAACACCAATAACAACAATACACTGATAGGAATTACAGGTATCGTGAAATGTTTCGTGTTCGTACTTCACAAGCAATTAACTAAGAATCAACCTTGCTAAACGGTACGTCTTACTTGAAGAATTAATTGAAGCAATTACAATGGCAATAGCAGCTCGATAGAATAATGGACACTTTGTTGACGTAAAAAAAATTAGAAATGAGCATAAAATGAATAAAATAAATTCGTATGCTCCCATTCAAACAAAAAGCAAGACCTCTGCTATGAGCGTTTGAATTGCAGGTAGCCATGATACGCCGCAGACATACTCAAATCTTGTATATTAAACAATTTGTCTGTTGTGTGCCTGCTCGATCAAAAATGAATGACGCATTATCCCAAAATAGAGCTTTTATGATGGATTAACTCCTTCACCAAATTATTCAAAGCAACTGGCAACAATGTGGTAATACCTTTGGAAAACAAAAATACTTAATGAGGGTTTCGTTAACATTTGATGAGAAATCTTAGTATGAATCAAAGCTTTGTATCTCTCCCTCTTTGTTCTCTTCCCATAGTTACCGATTACATCTAACATACGGAAGGACACCTTCATTGCATTCATACTCACCAGAACACAAGTTATTCACGTTTTTCCGCATGCGATTATTGAAGCCACCGATTGTAGTATTTATTTAAGCAAATATCGCAACAGAACGAGGAGTCGATCTGTAGCTGCGGAAATCTGTGTTTCTTCCATAGAATATCATATTCACCCACAATGAACGCACAAAACAACCTTGACCATATAACTATTATGGTTGTCACTCACCAATGAAGATGTTTGGTTAGTTAAAGAGCATTTAGTTCACTTTGCACAAATTTCGAAGTGATCGAGAGAATCTTCTTCTGGATACGAACTATAGCGAAGAAGCGGAGCTTCGTCGATGAGCAAAATACTCTGCTCCCGCCGCGGTGGGCGATATCGTTGCGGTGCAACAGCATCTGCATCAGCATTTATTGTGGGACACGTTGTGAAATGTGGCTGTTTCTATACCCGTTCTATTTCTCGCAGGCTCCGGTCATCCGAACAAATCGTTTCATGATTCGTAATTCCTTAAAAAAATTCGCTTGACCCACGAGTGACACAATAGAAGGACGAGTTTCATTGAAGAAACGACCATCGAGGTGATAATCGTTTGTGTATCTCAGTCGACTAACATCTAACAGTCAACTTTAGTTTACGAGCAAAATTCAAATATAGAAAAATTTGGTAAAAGCAAAAATTTCAACTACTAAATTATTGACAATATTGCATAAATGGGGTTATTATATTAGAATATAAATAATAAATAATAATAAATATAAGAATAATAGCTGTATCTAATTCAAATTATTTACATATTGTGCTGACACTTTAATGTTACATCAATACTTTACGATAATAATTATCTTTTATTAAATTTTAATAATAATAGATAAATGTAAATTTGTTGGAGAAATTGGTAAGATCGACAAATGAAAATAAATAAGTAAATAAATAAATAAAAGTAAAATTTTGTTGTACAGTCACGGGCTTACCCCAGAAGCGAATAGTTCAGAGGGAACTATATTGTAAAAATCATAAAACAATAATATAGCCATAGCTCAGCTGGAAACGTTTGAATTCTAAAAAAGACTAAGCCTGTTGACCGGAAGTATTCTGTACAAGGCAGAATAATGCCTCTTTGTTACGTCCCCTCAATGTAGTTACTGATAAATCTAAGAAAGAACCTCAAAGATAAAATTTAAGGACTGATAAATGCGAAGGGAATGATCATCATAATGACAAGTGCAGACACATGCAGAACGAATATGCTTGCCGCTTTTTTGATACTACTACTGAATATTTAGTTTTCGTTAAACATCTCGTCCTTGTTTTTGAACTTTGCTTTTTCTCAACTTTGGTCCTAATAAATTCCGGCACTTAAAGTCATTGTAAATTCATTATAGTGGGCATATTTGAGTCACACTTCAGCGTATCCAGGTAAACAAATATTGCCCCACCCAGAGCCGCTATTAATAAAGGCCTTCGCATAAATCGAGAGCGTCTTTTTTTACATGCGTTGTCTACATTGCAATTGTCTGTTATGCGAAAATTATATAAAAACCAAATCGGAATTAGACCAGTTTCCAGGAATGCTCAAGAAATTATGAGTTTTATTGATTTATGTGGTGTAGTTTGTACAACAGCTGTCTTCAACTTTGCGATGACTGCAATAATTTTGTTTTAGCCAAATAAGGTCGTTTAAATTCAGCGACATGATCTAATTTGAACCAACAAACGTAATGGAACGCAGTACCATATTTAGTCAGTAGTCGTTCATTAACTTCTTCATTTTTTGTTTTTTGACAGGTGATTCTTTGGGCTGCTCGCTATGACTAAGGTTAAAGCGAAATTTGTGCTCGTTTTATTGAGGAGTTTAGTTTCAAATCACCCGGTCGTTGTACGTAAAGAGCGGTTGGACGAGAAGATAACGGCTTGGCGGTGGGATCCATACATACAACAGATGGCCGTCTACAAGGAAGTGCAGAAGATCAAGAGTCTGAAATAATAGAAGTACATAGTGTTACAATGAAAGAAAGTTCTCAGTGAATACTGAATTTCAGTTTTGCTATGGCCGAAAAGAAAGCTTTAGTGGCTAATAGTAATAAAGTAGTATGGATGTTTTAATTCAATATTGTTTATGCGTTTTGTTATATTTAAGTAGCCAATTGGATTGAGGGAGTATGTTGCAAGGGAACGTTAATGAACCAAGTAAAACCTAAATTATACATGCAATAATACGTTGGGAAGCTTGCAGTAAATTCTAAACAAAATAACATATAGGTCCCAAAAACTATAATGTGGCGTCTATTTCTTAAAGAATATTTTGAGATCAATCCATTGATTAAATTAGTCGTATTACTGAGACCTAATATGCGACATTTGTGACGCAATAATACGCAAAATGATCTGGAAAATTTAATACAAAGCTCAATATATTAACTGCTTATTTAATTAGACAAGTAGATTTAAAACTTGCAAATCGTTGATTTCCTAGATCACAAACCTAAATGGGTCGTAAATGTTCGAGCAAACTGAACGCAAAACAACGAGTACATTTCGAATGTTTCACCGTACTCTAGCTTGTTTTTTAAAAGCCTACTAGTTTTTGAACCATTATTAGGTCTTTATCATTCTCCATTTATTTTTCAAACAGGACTACCCTTATGACGGTTCGGGGCAGTTACTATAAAAGAAGATGACGACATTTGAAATTTCAGCACTCGATAGTGCAACTCAAACTCATTAAACTTGTAAGTAAAGCGCGATTAAATAACATTCTGCGTTATTCAAATTTGCAGTTCTGAAATTTGGGTAAAAGGTTTCTATAGGAATTTAAAAACGCAACAAGTGCCTATTTTTCTTGATAACTATTACATCGTTTCAATTGTGTTAGCTCTATGGATAAGGAAGCATCGTTTATATGAATAATTCATTTAAAATTATTTATAAAATGACGGACTATAAAAGAATGTGTTGTATTTATCTACCAATATGCGCTTTTCGTAATGCGAGTAACCAGTGATATTCGAGTGATCCATGAATAACTTGTGATTCCGTAAAGTAGAAGCCCTACAGTATTTTATATAAAGCTAAAAGTCAGAGTGCTTCTTGTTTTTATATTCAAATAAACGTTTTAAGAATTTGTAAGCGGGATTCGTAGAAATACAGGTGGATTTGCGGCGCAAGCTTGTGTCCTAAAGGACACGCTACAAATCTTATAAAAAAAAAACTTCTGATATGATTGAATATCAACTTTGTTATAAATCAGGTGTGAATTTCGGCACAATGCAACCCGCGCACAATCACCTTAATAGGTACCCCCATAATGGCGTAATGCGTAACTTGTTTGTCTGCTCTTTCAACGTAGACACGATGTTTCGTTCTAGGAGTCAGCCATTTGATAAAATTCCTAACGGCGGTATTGAACGTAGAACTTAAAATATTTAGTTTAAATTTACCTGAATAGGTACTGGGGGCGCTGGTAGCCGTGGTTCAATACAACGCGCGCCATCTTTATCGTCATGTAAAATCCGTAGCAGAGAGCGCGCGAAAAGCATTTAGCTGACAGATGCATCATATGCGCCACTCTGTTCTACAGCTAACACAGGCGACAGAAGATTTGTTTTTGCGAATTGAGAAGTGGCGCTAAATTTCAGTATTTCAATCGTACTAAAAGAAATTGTCAATTGTGGAACCTGTTCGATACTGTAATGTAAAGTGGCGATTTGAAATCAGCGTTGAATCTGTGTTATAGCCAAAGGGTGAGTGTTTCGTTCCATTTTCGCAACTTTCCGGTGTAGGGAATACCAGCCACAAATGTCTTAAAGTCCAGTCGGTAAAATTAGTGATCTGAGTGTAAACATCGGAACAGCGAGTCTGCAAATCGAAAGCAGAATGCTGTCGTGGAAAATCAAGTTGGTGCCATTCAGTCGTAACCGTTTGCACCGATTGCGCTAACCAACATATACGTTGCGCTACTTAAGTGAAACCTCCTCATAATTATGTCTGATTACGATGAATTCTAATAAAATATAATTTAGTTTATACACATTTCGAAATTGTGATTTGTCGTTACATCAACATAGGCTGTGCAAATGGCGCACGATGGTTTCGCACCGCATCAATACATGGATTATCATTATGGAAAAATATTATATTACAACGAATTTTCTAGGGGGCTTAAACTGTGAATTTCAATCTACTTATTTCATATAGAACTTTGAGAAGAAACGATTCTGTGTAGGTATATTTTTAACAGATATAGCATACACAAAGTATATGTAATGGAATTTTTTGTCGGGCAGTGAAACGACCTATCCAATTGCACGGTTTACAGCACCACTTCTACATTTTCCGTCTCCCAGAACTTCTAATCATTAGTTCCCTGGGAATGGTTCGATTCGGTGACATGAGCTGCTCCAATCTGTGTGCTTGTCACTAATCAAGAGGGTTCTAGCTCTAATTATTTAAATGGAATAGGCCGAATTCCCTGTTTGGAATTCCTCATGGATTGCTTCGTATTCTGCCTAGTTGTAAGTATACGTGAAATGTGCGATACGTTTGCAGTGAACTGATTGGCTCAACGATATATCGCATGAACTGCCCCAAACTTTGCTTCGTGTCATAATTTGTTTATAGCGGAAAAAGCCTTTATGTTCATCAGAGATGTCCATCTGACTAGGTTTCATATTTCTTAGAATAACAATTGTTTGTTGCAGATATCTTTAAAAGAAACACTGCAATTAAATGAGCTGAGATCATATTGATGAAAAAATTTGGAAGAATTCTTACCTTGATGGAAATTAAAGCTCGCTACCATCAGTTTGCAGAAAACCATACCGTCCGTTTACGAAATTTCAAAGAGGTTCACATTAGTGTAAATATATTTTAGCAAAATGTCATCCACTCATCGCCATTCAAGCTTTCTCCAAGTGTTTGATCCTTAAATATATTGCCATTCACTAGTGTAATTCAAAATTAGTTTTATGTTAACTAATTTTAGCTTGTATGGAGCAGTTACGTGATAAATCGAACTAATCGCCGTTATCCTTATCTTCCATTATACTATGGGAACTGCAGAAAGACAGAAGCTGCGGATTGAATATGGAAGTTTCTGAGTGCAAAAAGCGGAAATTGTTGGTTTGAGCCCCCATAACATGCCAAGTAACTTGCACTTACACGTAGAAAATGAGCATATAAGAACCGTTGATGGAATGAAAACGCTTCGCCGTAGTATCTTTTTGATAATACCTTTAATTTGCCTATTTTGGCTTATGATATGTTATATGCAGGCATATGTGGGTGTCATCCCTGTGATGCTGCAGTAATAACGTGTTGGACTAATAAACCTATCCTAATGATAGCTTAGCGGGTAACGTATTTGTGTACTAGTCTTAGAGACACGTTGTGGTTTAGGTTTGAATTGGGCCACAAACAGACTTCGTTTCGTGCTCGCAGCTAACCGTCTGCCTAATGGCTATACCGGGCGTTTCGATTAGGAAAACTAACTTTAGGTGTGAAGTGCCAAAATGTTTAAAAATCACTGTAGATAAACGTACTGTACATAGCACTATTTGTAATTAAAGATGGAGCAGTTGCACTATCGCACAAACTGAATCTTTTTGCGCAAATTACCAAAAATTAAAAACCATTGGAGATGAATTGCTGATTCCTAGTTACTGGAATTGCTCGAAATTCTAAGAAAGCTTTCCACTGTGCAACTTTCATTGAACTCGTCATAAAACCCTTTGAATAGATACAGCGGATGGAATATTAAACCACCTTCAGCCCAACTGTTAATACGTAGAAGTTGAACGAGTTGTCTTTTCTTTCACCACTGTTGCAAAAGCGTCAAAACAATTGATCGGAAGTTATTGTCCAATAAAAGTACAGCATATATATATATATATATATATATATATATATATAGCAAGAGTAGTTTATTTAAACTGATTTCTCGAATATTTATTTGTTAGTTACATTGACTAGAATGAATGACGATAGATAGAACGATGATTTTTTTATAGCAGAAAAAGCTCTTAGCTTAGATTTTTTTGTTAGAGTTTATAGATTTTTAATTTCTTAATCTACAAAGCTAACAAGACGCGATACACATAATAATCTATAAATATTTTGTCTACTAACATTGGACATACAGACCTCATAAAATGGTGCAGTGAAAATGTTTCCGCTACATTACGGACGACTTCGGGTGTTTGGTATGAAATGACGCACTAAACATTTGGCAGCTACACATACTGTATGCCGATAAAGCGGTTTAAAAGTTACCAACAGTTAAAAGTAAGGCAGATCTACAAATCTATCTATTCCTGTCGCAGTGATAATTTAGTACGTATATTCAAAAGTTCGTTCTCTAAATATGACTCAAATCATTACAAATAATTTTGGATTCTCTTCTCAGCGTTACAGAATAACGTTTAATTGATATTTAAATTTCTATGTTCTATTTCTCTATATTTCTGTATATCTATATCAATGAATGATGCCATGAAGTCCCTTTATATTGCAGTAGTATCTCCTAAACCTAGGGACAAGTGATAGCCTAGGTTAGCCTAGGTCTGCATCCGGAGGGGGACACACTACTTTTAGTGCTAAAAGAATTACATGTCTGAAGCAACGACTAACGGCCAAATTACCGAAAATAAAACTCGAAATAATCAACACTAGACAGACTTCGCGGACTCTACTTTGTGTCTGTTTTACTACAGTGTGCGACCCGCGAGGTTTCGCCATGCATCAATTTTGCTGGACGAACACCTTTAACTTACCTTCGTTAAGGTAAGAGGCAATTTATATTTACATAGGAAGTAACGTTGAATAGCGGCCGGCTATCTCTGGTCCTTATAACCCCGTAACCTTTTTCACAATACAATTTGTCGTACACCACTCATTGGGCACACTTACTCATGCATGACAATCTTATGCTAATGATGTATGAGCACCGCCGATGCTGCTGGCCGCATTGGTACCTGTAAACAGTGGTACGAGGTAGTTTCCAAATGTGGAAAATAAGGCGAAAGTTGCTGCCGTCGGTTAACGACTGTGGTCAACCAAATTAATATTACTCTTTACGGTGAAAAATAAGCTCTATACTCTGGAGGCAAAACGATTCCCTCAATCAGTTTCATCTGCTGGGCAGATCTCCCTAGGAGGTATTCTAACGAGCTATAAAATAATCAGCCCAATCCGTGCCTTCCGAAGAGCCGGCCTGTCTCCGCGAGCAAGTCCGCGAATCTAGATTTTTCGCAGTCTAGATAGTTTGAGGAAGCCACGGAAGTCGTTGATTTAAGTACCGCTTCCACATCTACTACTACTAGTGCTATTTTATAAAGTAACAAAACAAATAAATTTATTTATTTTTGAAGATTTGGCGATTTGCTCATTAGCTATGCTTTATGCGTTCTCGCCTACAAGGATCAGCTTCTAGACGATCTCTGTAAATACTATGTTATAATGATGAGCTGTGTCGTAAATTTAACTATGAATCTATATTGGTTAGCGGATTATTCTGCGTAATATGCATTCTACTGCACTTTCTGTCAGTCCATTGTATAATACACCACCCCGTGTCAATTAAACAACACGCTTCTGTTTATTGTTTTTATCTTTTATATAGGATAGGGCCTTAACAAACCAATGAACAAGTCTAGTTGCAGCCATATTTAGTAGTATTCTTTATGATTTCCATATTCGCCGTAAACCCCTTTGCATGATCCGTAGGAGCCATCCTACAGGTTGCCGTATCCCAACCCATAACCTTAATAACTTCCTCTATGGAGAAAGTTCCTCCAACGAAGCGAGTGCGAAGCTATTCCTTTTATGGCACCGCCAACCAATGCGACCTTATTGACCAGACTGGCTGTAAGGACAAAGGAAAATGGCCTTTGAAACGATGATGAGGCTTGATAGGGTCATTTGCGAAAACGTAGGCGAACTTCATTCTAACCCGAGCTATTTTATCTGCAAAATGACGATTATAACTGTCTAGTCGCTCCGCTCGACCTTCGTATATTATCATCATGTGATTTTTACAGTACAGTGTATCAATACAAAGATGAACAAATCAATAATTAATGATTCTTCTGAAGATTTTAATTACTTTGCGACTAATTGAAATAGTCATGATTAATGAGTAGCTCTGATACTACAGTATTCGAAGTCAAAAATACATATACGAGCAATGAGAGAACCGACATGATGGATACGTGAATTTATGGCTTCAAAACATTGAACATTAATTAGAAAGTTCCTAGTACCATGCATTCGCTCGTCCTGAGTTGAGTAGTTAAATTTAATAGTAATTGGTGTAATTAAAACTGAATGCTGTACAAATCGTCAATGCACCAAGCTCCGGATGACTTTATAATGCTGCCGTCACCACTTATGTTCGTGCTAGCAGTGGCTCGTTACATCCCGTCTTGTTACTGTTGGTACTACCTATTGATCAAGTAAACTTCTTGTAGTACTGGGTGGTTACTATGATGGGAACTATTAACTGGGTACGGAAAGATGCACGTCTTGCCGCCTACTGGAGTCGAGTTACCTAAGGATTACAACGAGCGCTTACATCTTTGAAAGAGAGAATGTTGTTCATAGCATGAGTTCGATGCTCTACCGAACCCTTTTAGGGCTTTCCTTAGGGCAAATGTAGACCCAAGGGCTCGTCTTTCAGCTGTAGGGAGCGCAGAAAGTTCTTCTCAGAAGTTATCTACTTATAAATCGTAGAAATTGATCTTGTGCATTGAATTATTGGTGCAATGTTTACTTATAATATTGTTTGCATACAGCGTATTAAATGTGTATATTGTATATCACCTTTCTCGTGTATCCTGTTGTATACATAATCTTGTTCTGTACATCTGCTGAACTGTATTCGAAATTATACTACATGTATCGAGTTGAATGTACTGGACATTAATTATTGCTCTATATATTGTAATATATAAAAAAAACTATAGAGATTTATTTTGTACATGCACCTATGTGAAAAGTAAGTAGGCCCGTAATGCCGTAACACACCAGGAGTATCATGATGGAAGAAAAAAATTGTAGCCCTTAGCGTTTATGATCTAGCTTGTTAATAATTAATATTTACTAACATGTCTTGCACCCAAATAATAGTAATAATAATTATAATAATGATAATAATATATGTTGTACTCATTTTCGATGTACGCAAGGCATCTCCCTAATGTAGAAATGCGAACAGACTTTATAGTGAATGGTGAATAAATGCATGTATTATTTATATACTGTAACATTATGAAGGCCTCTAAAGATTAATTGCACTTACTAATAGGTGAATCGGCTTCCTATTGATTTGACGTGGACTCCCGTCTGATAATCAGCATTTTCTGAAGAAGACTATTTAAGCGCATGCGCCGCCATGGAAGTCGATCGTATCAATCCACTTCCAAAGGACGTGGTTAACAGGTAAAAAAAAACCAGATTTCTTGATGTCAACACCTTGTTTACTTCGTTTAGTTTCATTAGTAATTTCGTCCATTTCTTTGGTTTATATTTAAATGTTGAAATGCAAAAAGACAAAGTTGTTAGCTTTCCTGGATGAAATAAGGACAATCAATTTAAGCTAGAGAAAAGGTCAAAAGGTTTTGAAGCTTACGACCTATCATTTATAACTGCCAATGTTGTTATTATTGAAGTATTTTGTAAAGTTGTTACTTTTATTTTTTCTCAGCGCCATTTGAGTAATGCCTAGTCAATGTTCGCTTGCGTTTTTTGATATGGTGAGGCGTACGAGGTTAAATAAAGTTTACTATCAGTTTGGAAATATGGGAATAAACAGCGACTTGCTAATACAATTTCATCAGCAACTGTCAACCTATTTTTTCTTGATCGATAAGCAACCTTTCAATTATCCTGTGAATATATCTTTGAATGAAATAAAACTTTAAGATGTCATACTTAGAATTGCTGCAGGAGAAGTTATTCAGCGGCCCTGCAATGCCCTTAAGGAAATGCTGGAGAATTCTATCGATGCGAAAAGCTCAAAAATCAACGTCGTATTGAATTCAGGCGGACTAAGGTTGATCCAAATACAGGTGTGCATAGTTCTTTCCGTTGTTTGAATTAATTTCCATTTGTATATGCCTTGAAGAACATATACTTTAGGTAATATCTGTTCATAAGAATATTTTGTCATCCAACCTAGAAAGTATAGCTGCGGAACAAGCATATTGTTAACCAATTTCAATGATATAATTCACTGCTCTTTTCAGCAATTGGAAATTTGAAGTAGCGATAAATAGTCTTCTAGCAGCGACAAAATAGTTTTTTTTAACATTTTGTTAATATCTAATTAAAAGCATATTACTGCATTGGTTAGGACGACGGTTGTGGGATCGCTAAAGAAGACCTTGCCATCGTCTGCGAACGCTTTACCACATCGAAGTTGAATTCATTTGAGGATCTTAAGAAAATCTCAACATTTGGCTTCCGCGGCGAGGCGCTCGCATCAATCACATACATAGGCCACGTTAAGATTGCTACAAAAACCGATGCGGTCCCAGTTGGCCATGAGTGTTGTTATCGGGATGGAAAAATCATTGTATGTAAACTGTTCTTCTTGCTAAGCTACTCTTGAATATATATAGACAGCAATCTCAATAATTGAAGCCTAACATTTAAAAATAACCCATTCCACGACAACTTTAGAGTAGCACCCAAACGTTTTATTATTGTGTGAAACCATTTGATTCGATTAATAAGTGTTCGACTGGTTTGTCACTACGCCTTAGGAAGGATCAGGTCCTAATCCGGTAGCTATGAATCGTGGAACAACGATCACTGTCGAGGACCTGTTCTTTAATGTTCCTCAACGGAGACAGGCTTTTCGCTCGACTGCGGACGAATTTCGCCGTTGCGAAACCTTAGTCTCAAATTATGCTGTTCATTTCCCCTCCATCGGGTTCACTCTATCCAAAAGTGGTACGTAAAACGTTCCATCTAATTGCGATAGGTTATACAGACGCATAACTTCGATATCTAACCAAGAAAGAAAACCTACAGCTGATATTATAAGGTAAGAAATGTTCCAAGGAAATCTGTATATATAATTTTTCGCACACCTTGAAAAGTTGCTTGCGAACAATCAATGTCGTCGCTCCGGGTGCTAAGATTCTTGCAGCTTGGTTTTCGGGCGTTTGTAGGCGAACTTAGCTATGCTGTCAATACGCAAAAAAAATCGTCCGTAATTGAGAACATACGTGCGCTCCATGGCCAGGAAATTGCTCGAGAACTTTTGCCTCTCGAATTTACTGATGACAAGATCTCTCTTCGGTAACGTATTTTTGACCCTACTAGTTTCTTAAATCAATATGGGTGATCAGTGATATTGGTTCAAGGAAATATCTTTTATATTTCCTTGGAGGTAGCTATCCGCTCAATTATAATAACAGAATCTTATGAGATCAGGCGTTTCTTAGGTCCGTTTCAAGATAGTATTGTTGCTGGATTGATAGGTACGTATATACGAAGATGGATAGCCAAATAACTAAAAAACAAGTTTTAAAACAAAACAACCTCATAAATTCAAAGACTTGCAGTCTTTAATATTCTGCTATAATGCAACGGCAATGAACTCTGTTACAAATGTCTGGGATACCATTGCGGCGCGCTCCGATTTAATTGCAAAGAACTATCTATCCTGAATGACTTTTTACTATCTTCAGTATAATACATGGAATCAATACCTATCTTCTGATACAAGGACAGCTTTTACATAGTTTTGTTGCGTCTTGGTCAAATTTTATAGGGTAAAGGGATACATTTCTAAGGCGAACTACTCAAGCAAAAGGCGGACCCAATTTATCCTCTTCATCAACAATCGGTAAACTCTATCGATTTAAATGGCTTACACGTATAAGTTCTTTAAATTCGTATGTACATTACATGATTTACATGTGATTAGTATATGGTTTCAACAGGCTTAGCTTATTTAATGCACAACAGCTAATTAAATAGTATTGTCGCCCGTTAAACATTAGGCTGGTCGACTCCGGTGCGATTCGAAATTGTCTGGACACGATCTACCAAAGGTATCTGCGTAAAGACGACAAACCGTTCATCTACCTTTCGTTAACGATGCCCACTGAGAATGTGGACGTGAACGTCCATCCGACCAAAAGTGAAGTTGGATTCTTACATCAAGAATACATCCTCGAGAAACTACAAGGAGCTGTGGATAAAACTTTATTTGATTGTGACTCATCCAGGTATATACGCTTTTATTTTTTATTTACAATAATATATTTACTTGGATGTAGATAGAAAAATTCGATATTTCAGGCCCATTTTCCCCTGGTCTTACAGACAGCTGTTATAAAAGTTTGCTACTAGGCTTCTCTTAAATAGTGATGGAAGTTATCTGGCGGGACATAGCAATGCGGCGTACCACATTTCTGAGGGCATTTTGTGTGTCGGTGAAGCCCTATATTTTACAATAGAGGAAGGTAGGCTTTAGTTCAAAAAATTTTTGCCTCACGGTGTTTGTCACATTATTACATGCCAAGATGGCTAAAGCTAACACATTCTAACCCGAATAATGAGTGCATAATAATGGTAATAAAAATTGACCATTAATTATATTGAACAGATCACCTACATCCTATAAAAGATTCTATAAAAAAGATCCTATAAGAGATTATCATGGCATAGAACGTATACATTGACCAATAGTCCGATGTTACAATTATCTACGTAGGAGTAAGTGCCTGGTACCTCAGCCAGATCAAGAGGCTTCTCAGTATCTGTTTTAAAGCTACCGACATAAATGACTCTGTTTATATTTTATCAATCTAAAAAATATTTTCCGGCAACTTTAAAAGCTGGGTAATGGCTCCGGCCCTGTTTTACTTTTTGTAGACACTACCTGACAAAGCAGCCGGTCCTTTCATTCGGAAACGAGTTAGGAGACGCCCAGGAATCTCGTCGAAGCGAAAAAACTCAGGAACCTGCTGTAGATGGCAATGGAAAGCACCAGCAACCCAGAGATGACAAAGGAGTAGTCCGAACCGATTCTTCTCAGGAGAAGCTGACAACTTTTTTCTCTCAGCAGGTTACTAATGGAACACCAAATCAGGAATCGCAGACACTACTCACAAGTGTAAGAAGACACTTCTGAATATAGGTAGAGATTTTTTAAATGTATATTTACTGCTTGTGGAATTGCTTTTATGGTATTACTTTAAAATGAGCGTAATTATATCACGCCCAGGTGAACATCATTATCTTACAAACGGAAGGTAGTTTTGCGTATGTGACAATAATAATAGCTCTATTTCGCTATGGTACCAATAGGTTTTGGAGCTGCGTGAAGAGCTGGCAATAAGCGCCGATTCAGAGTTGTGCCGGAAACTTTCCAAGTTAACGTTCGTCGGTGTCGTATCCAGCAAATGTTCCCTAGTGCAAATCGGAACCAGCTTAATGATGGTCAACCACATGTCTTTTTCAAAGGCTTTATTTTACCAGTGTGCACTCGAAAGATTTAGCAGTTTTCCCGCGTTCGAGTTCGAGCCGATGCCATTAAACGACCTGTTAACTTTGGCACTTCAGTCTACGGAGTCCGGATATGAAATCGAGATGAATTGCCAAGAAGAGCTAGTCGCAATGGCGCGAAAAACTCTCGAGGCTCGAGCTCAAATGTTGGCCGAATATTTTTCGTTAGGTATTCTGGACGGGTACATATACCGAGTGCCGGTCCTAGTCAACGGTCTTAAACCACGGCCTGGACAACTACCGCTATTTCTACTACGATTAGCATCCGATGTGAACTGGGAGAATGAAAAGGCCTGTTTCAGTGGAGTGTGCACGGTACTTGCACACTTCTACGCAAGCAGCTGTTCAGAAACCGACTTAGCAGATATTGTCTTTCCAGCAATACGACGAAAGCTCAAAGTGCGCTCCAAGTTTATGAAAAAACTAGTTAGGTTGACTTCAACTGAGGAGCTCTATAAAGTATTCGAGCGTTGCTGATGTGCAGCACGTGTTCGAATTAGTATCAAGCCGATTGTCGTCCATATGATCTAACAGGATGTTCCATGAAGCCAGTAATAATCCTAATGTGTATATCACTGTCAATACCATTATTTTACTGTAGTACATGTTGATTTCCATTTGTTGAATAAAATGCCTTCTTCATTTTAGTACTCTGACAGTCATGACACATAAAAGCAGATGCACTGTTACTAAATGCGCATCTACTAAGATGAATATTTGGATTATAAAGATTCAGTCCGCTCGCTGATCTGAATATGTATGATAGGAATAATAGTTGGACGGACGGTTATCCCTTCTATCAGAAAACATGCTTTGTTCTCAGTCAGATCGCTAAACAATACGGTCGCCTTATCAAACTATTAAAATTGTTTTAAACAACTTCAACATTTTAATTCCCTAACCTTACCTAGGTGCACATTTCAAATCCGTTCAAGATGTTTGACTTAATGAATAGACTCACTTAATTTAGTTAAGACAGAGGTTCTACACTTATTTTACCATTTCATTCTTCATTTACCTAATCTTCACCCCTTCGTGTATGAGTAAAACGCATTGAAATACAGGCCGATGTCTGGAATTACAGTTCTACGTGGTCGGAGGAAGTCGTTTTAAATATTGGAACAAATCGTGTGTATGTGATTAGTTCATGGTGAAATAAATAGTATAGAATAGCGTAAACGAAGCGTTTATTAAATACGTTTAGCTATCATGATCGGCCACCTTTTAATGGAACAGTGTAAATTTATGCTACTATTTTATTGAACACTAACATAAGAGAGACCTGGTATATGATGATAGCATCGCCTACATAAAAATACGTTATTTTATTTAGTTCTTAGATTAGCTGGCATCAATTTATGCCAATTATTAGATTATAAAAACAAGAAGAAACATCATTTACATAACTATTTACACATGCCGACCATGAAATCTACATAATACCTCACATTTAGAAGCATTACAAAGTCCTCACGAAGATCATCAGAGAGCTTACTTCGTAGTTCCATATCATTGACTAGAACAGTGACATCTTTATTGATAGTGAAATTTTTCAATGCCCTGAGAACAACCCTATAATCCTGGGTAGACATGGCCGACTTGATCCGCTCAAGGATCGCTTTTTGCGAAGGTAGCGGCTGTGCGTACAGTTTGTTAAACTCGTCCGTGCTAATTTTACATGGTGGATAGTATCCAAAAAACTGCTTCAGTTCCTTTGTTTGATCGGAACCCTCCAAAACCCAACGGAGGACTTGTACGACTATGAAGGCCGACTTGATAACGTTCAAGTTATCTGCCAAGTTCTTTAAAGCGACTGCTTCCGATGAGTTTGGCCGGAGGACCACCCTTGCAATGATCTCCATACCCAGTTTAGACTTATGTTTCGGCGTTAATTTCGATATATTCAATAAAAGGGATAGGCCTAGTTGGGCCTTTGCATCCACCAAGAGATCGGAGAGCATATGACAAAATAAGCTTAGATCATGGGTTTGTCGATAAGTTTTTATTGCCTCAGTAACACGTGTTCTCCAATCGGCAACATGGTTACAATGTTTCTGGAACTCGCTCATAATATTTTTCATTACTTCTAGAGCATCTTTTCGCCGATTAGCATCATATACTGTGGAGTCCATAATGGCCAAATCCTGTGTCCCGTTTCGCTCATCTGACTTAGATGGAGAAGAATCCAAGGGAAAGGGATTTCCCATTGTTTCAAGTTTAGCGTCGGCGTCTTCTTGAACTTTTACGTTAGCTTTATCTCCTCCTAACATATCGTGAAGAGGCACATTTAATTTTTTTCTCTTATGAACCTCTTTTTTTGCAAAAACTTCGGAGGATCGCTTCTTTAAACCAACTAATGTTGGCAAACTGTCGATTACAGGGCCGCGTTGCTTGGAAAATTCCTCAACTGCTTCAAGCACACTTTTACTTCGAATTGCTGTGATTTCAGTATCACCAGATATTCTTGTATTCTTGTAAAACTCGACAAGCTTACGACTTGTCTTACCAACCTCTTCGTCAACATCAATTACTACCTTCTGCGATATTGAAACCTTAGAACTGCCCGCCTCTGAAGGTAGCCTCTGGGCGCTGTTGATGAAACCCATATAATTACTTCCGTTATCTTCCGCAAAATTAGTGTTTCGGCTACGTACGCACACACTATGAGCCTGAAAAAACGTCGATACACCAACGAGGGCTTTGCGGAACTCACGGATTGTTTCAACTTTGTTTCGGACCCATTTCGAGAGTTCATTAACGATTGCCATCTCTGAAAAGCGTTTGTCTAGGAACAAGATCATTCCGAAATCGTTTCGGTGGCGAATGACCCTTCCAATAGCTTGATTTATCGCTCTGATAGCCTGAATCTGATACCATGCCATTCCGTTGATGCCGCTTGAACCATACTTATTTAGATACTCCATTTTAAGCATAACGCGGTTGTCCTCTTTTGGTGCATATGGAATTCCGATGATAACCACAGCTCGGGCATATTCGTCTGAAAAATCAACACCTTCTGAACTTTTACCTCGGCAAACAGCGAAAAGCATCGCTCCCTGAGGATTACTCACAACAGCATCGCGATAGCATTGAATCGTCGCGGTGAACGATGCCGAACCTGATTCTTCTTGCAAGAGCAATTTGTTCTCACGGAGCCTTTTCAGGATTCCCATTTCGTTCCACTGTTCCACGAGAGATTTCATGCACGCGAACGATGGGAAGAACACCAATATTCCATGTGGAATTCGTCGACTCATCTCGTTTATAGTGAGCCCAAGGCTACGAATGTACTTGTCATTTTTTCGATTTTGGTATGTGGAAATCAGCTCGGTCCGATCGGGTCCCTGAGGAATGCACATTACTGCGATTTTATCAGGTGTAATAATGTGATCGTTACTCAGTTGCACTTGAAAAGGGACGCCCAATTCCGTTGCCAATGTTTTCATTGGAGAAAGGGTACCACTTGTGAGAATCAGTGAATGTACTCCTGCCATTATGATGGAATTCATCCGAACCCCCGGAGCTAAACAGACGAAACACAGATCCCATTTTTTCTTTTTTTTCTCAATAACAAACACTTCTTTTGTAGTCTCTTTCTGTTGCTCAAAATATAGCTTAAAGCTTTTTTTTAGTTGATTAAGCGTACCGCCTGAATAAACCGTGTTTAGCATATCTAACGTTTTCTGGAGACCAGCTCCTTTTGGGCCCCAAATGCCCTGAGTTGATACGCTTTGTATGTACTTGAGAATCGAATCTAACAGACCGATGATCTTTTCATGTTGAGCATCGATTTCCGTTTCCTTCAGCATCACGACCAAAAAGTCGCCGTCGTAGTGCTTTCCCGTCTCAGAGGCGTTGTCAAACTTCTGCTCAAGTTCAAGCAACATGGTTTTTAGTACGGATAGTTCATTCACGTCGAAATCAAGGGTATCAGCATTTTCACCATTTACTAGCGTAGCACTGATGCCATCGAGCTCCTTCACGGATGCGGCCAAATCAGTCGAGCTCATCGAAAACGATAATGAGTCTTCACAAAACGACTCGATATTATGAGCTTCGTCAAAAATGACAACGTTTCCATCCAGTTCGATAGCCTGCGATCGACGGGTGGACGGGTCGACGATATAATTGTACGGGACAAAGATTACGTCACTTTTTTTGCGAAGAATCTTTGTCGCGTAGTAAGGACAGCATTGGTGCCGTCGTCCCAGTGTTACGAGGTCCTCGATATCGATAACGTGCTTTTTTGAGTAGTCTTCATGGCTAACCTAGAGGAGAGATTAAAGGGAAACGAGCAGCGACCAACGAAACATATATAGCTAGCGGTGACTTAACTATCATCATTTAGTGTGACAATGAGAGGCAAGTGTACAATAAATTTCCTAGTGTTTCTGCCTCATTATTAATTTGATTATAAGCCAATTGAACCTAGCGAAAACGTGAATGTTAACTTACTTTTGTCTCATAGTTGCGGTAAAATTCACAGGCTCTTGTGTTAACGAGCACTTGGCATCTTCGAATCTTCTGTTGAGACGAAGGCAATGTGTTAACCTCGGAATTTATACAAAGCTGATCACGCGAACCAAGAACAATACTGTTCATATAACCATAACGGGTTCGCTTCAATTCACGGCTGGCTTGCAATAGTTGAGAATGTGTTCGGGATGAATAAAGAATTTGGGTCGATCGGTCGAACGACGATGAAAGGCTCCCACTAGTTGTACTGGGCACTGAACTGTAGCCGATTTGGGGGTCTGGAGATCGAAGGCCAGCTAACGTACCACCCGTTCCTTGGATGCCAAATACAAACATTAATTAATAATTTATCACTAAACGCATCTATAGATTAATGAAAATTATTTCGTATACACGTTTTTGTGTCCTCGTGCCCAACACTCTAACCCAAACCAGTGAGGAAAAGTTTACTTTTCCTTTTTGTTTTTTTTCTTTTTTATTTTTATTTTAGACCTTTACTTTCTACTTCTTTCATCAAGCTTGGATCACGTTCATGCTCATGGAGCAGTTCATGCTCAGTCTAAAAACGCTTTGCTACGTACCTTGCAATTGGAGGGCCGCTTTCCGATCTTCCAACCACGCCAATGAAGCGCATAATAGGCTAAGGGTTTTTCCGGTGCCTGTGGGGCTTTCAAGAAGACCATTCCAACGTTTCTGCAGGCACTCGATGACAGCTGACATATAATCTTTCTGGATTTCGTATGGTTCGAACGGAAAGTGGACATTCACCAAACGAATCTCAACAAGGGCAGATCGAGGGGTCGCTGAGAACAGTGGGGGTTCCAACACGTCTAGCTCCGATGCTACGTGTGCGTGTCCCGTGGTTTCTTTTTCATCCATAGCGAACTAATATAGGGTCACCTACGGTTGTCTAAAAAAAGAACAGTTGCAGTGACTGCCAAAAAAACATAGCTTAAGCCATTCATATTAGTCGATAAAGCCATGAGTATTTCTAGTCGACAATTACTTGACTTCATAATTGATGAATACCCAAACCGTCTTTTGCCCATCACATAGTTCAAGATGTATTTTAGTCAGTGATACGGCAACTCGTTTAAATTATATTTCAAGCCTTTTATAGGTCGTTTTAACAAGACTAATATTTAATGCGTGCAAATCCCGCTAATAAGAAGACCATCAGAGTACTCAAAAGTATACATGCTCATTCTCCAATACGCGACTATAATAATATTTCTGATTCTAAATAATCATCGGGTCTGAAGTATATCTTATCTGTTATATACTACAGACCTAAAGCTAGAAGCATGAGGACCAGTTCTAAGTTGGAGCGGACCAAGTTGAAAATCTTCACGTTACCTCTTAATTTGAAGTGATCCAGAGGTATGATTTATGTTGGAACGAAGTAAAAAAAAAACTAGTAAAACTCTGAACGCGGGTGTTCGCGGGGCTGAATTCAATAAAAACTACTTTTTTTTTCCATGAGACAGCACGAATTGGTAACGAATGGAATGCATACTGTAAAAACAAAAATTATACTATCGTGTCGCAGTTGTGTAATATTGCATTTGAGTGAACAGTTAAGTTTCCTCTCATCATAACGCAACATTGTCGTTAAGTTCAGGTTTATATGATTATCTACTAAACTGTTGAACGTGTTCAAGTTTGCCCGTACTTCCTTTTTCTATGGCGATTGCATATTTCATTTCAAGGTAGGTGTCTCCTTAGTCACGCGCTAATGATCAGTATTTGCAATTCAATCAAAGATAAATATTGCATATACTCTTTTTTCAAGTATTATAGTAAAAAAAATTTGCACCAAATAGTAATCAAATTTCGTTCAAATAGTAATTAAATTTATATTCTATTCCGCAAGTGCCTACTGTTGATTATATTCGCAGCACAGAAAACAAAAATCACAGCCGGCTGCATTAAAATCTATGTGTACACCTACTAGTAATAGAGCGTCTTGCTGGAAATATAAAATCGCGTGTTTGTATCTGTTAGGGGTTCGTTGCTTCTGTGTCCTCGAAGTGGCCCAAAACAATTATTTACTTACTACTTGTCATTCCAGCAGTTTACGAGACAATCAGGTGGCTCGTATCGCGGGCCTATTTGTTCGAACAAGCTCGCAGGCCGTCCTGCTAGCAGCTGACTCAAAGGAAGACAAACAGACGATAAATTGCGAACGGACCTAATAGAAGTTTGAAATGTATGAACCATAATATTTAATTTAATGTGTTTAAATACTTTCTTAGCTGTATAACTATATACATAAGTTGTATGAATGACGAACCATATCATACTGTATTAATGTTGCACATTTATATCATACGAGTAAGTATAACAGAGTAAACATTTAAATATAGAACCGCCCGAGGTTGCTATATAACAGAGACTGAAGAATTTCGCGTACGTATATTTGTTCGGTAATTCCTAAAAAATGTTATAAACGTTTTTTATCAGCTTGCTGAACTCCCCTGAGCAGTCTTTAATAGGCGACTACACTCGCATTCTTCAGTAAGTTGTGTTTCAGCCAAGTTTACTTCAGAACTAACTTACAAACAAGTAACTAACAACTTACAAAGAAAAAAGTTACTAACAAGCTTATATGTATCTTCGGATAAGTTACCTGTTCCAACCTGTGAACATGGAACTGACAAGAGTAAGATAGACTTTCAAGGAGATTCTTGCATCTCCCTAATGTTAATCAAAATCGTCTGCTTTCGTTTGTGTAAATATCAACAGACTAACGAAATAGATGAAGAAACTGAGATTTACATTGATCCAATACCTGATGAATTCTATTTTTTATTACTGAAGCGCTGTGCTTAATAAGCTATCAGAACACATGCAATTTTCAGATAGTGTTTGTCTTAGGGGGTTTGCGAACCGTACCGCCGAACGAGTATCGAGATCGCCGGTCCAATAGGTGGATAAAGCTATATTTCTGTACGTATGGGGAGAGGAAGTTGCATTTACAGAGTTGTGGCCTCCTTTGCTGAAATTTTCCTTACAGAGTTAGTAATTGAAATTGGTGTTCGACTAGTGAAGGATGTAACATGTACATTACTGTATAGAATAGATCGCCATTGATAGGCTTCAGGCACAAGTTAATCAAGCTTCGCCGGGTGACGAACGTGGTTTTATGAAGTGCTTCATGCTTACAAAGGCATTGTTACTAATAATGATAATATGAGTCAATTCATGCGATCACGAAGCTTACGATGTCAAACGCAATCTTATTTAACATTACCTGATTTTTACATAAATGTTCGATATTTGTGTTCGTGAGAAAATTTTTTAGCAAGCTAACTGGAACATCTGTGCTTTCGAAATGTTTACGCAGTGACCTTAATGCAGTATGCAATAGAACCCGTTGTTTTACTAAACGACTTTAAAAATAGTGATTTTAGCCATTCAAAAATATTAAGAAGAATACACATAAATCTAACAAGTATTATACGTACCAAACAAGTAGTATCAGGCTGTAAAAAACAACAGAACCAACTCTTCAGTATCAACTCCAACTGCTTGAACATTGAGTAGAGGATGGATAAATTCAGCCACGACCCACAGGCGGTTCAACTTATCTAACCTCCGTAGTCTGTGCTTAAGTCTTGTGAGCCGTTAGTGATCAAAAGTCTTCATAAGGAGAGCCGTTGAAGCACTCAGCCCGTTTGTGCGGGAGAAACGAGTGCTGGTGATGGACGCGAATTCAGGATAATTTTGACCAGCCTACGTTCCCTAATTTGCTCTGTGCGGGATAACATAACGCGTCTAGGGCCGAAATTAACGAACTTGCGTTGGCAAGCCCCATTTTCACCTATTTACCCGCGGACGGGCGGGAGCCTGCCAGGCTCCCGCCCGTCCGCGGGTAAATAAATTCCGAGGGCAGTCGAGTTGCGGACGCTTCGACTTTGGCTCATCTAATGACTCGGGGTTCGTTTTTGCGAGCGTGTCCTGAAAATTACGGGAGAAAACTTTTCCCAGTTCACATCATCGCTACCCTACGGTAGAGTGCAGGCGACGATCGGCGGGCACGGATGTTAACGCAGTAATTGCTAACCGCTAATAATGAAATAACTCGTTTTAGTGTACGTAATGAATGCGTAAACTAACGATCGGTTCTAAGATCTACGAGCAGCATTAATCCTTTAGTTGTTATGGCGTTTTCCAGGTTCAGGTGTTTGCAGGAGCAAAATCTAATAGTGCTAAATCAATGACGAAATTTTACTCATATTTATTCCTAAACAAATATTTAAATATGATATGAAAATATACTTACAATAAGAACTCTGCTGTATTGTCCGAGATTTGTGTGCTCCATCTCTGTGCTGACAACAAATAACAATAACAATGAATAGTGGTACCGTTGTCACCGTGCTAATGAATTTAAATTTGATGAAGTCTATGAAGTAGTTTGACGCCGAATATTCAAACGAAGGATATATTCCGCAGTGGCGTATCCTACTTCCACTATTGCTGTCTTTTGACAGACGAACAGTTCGTGACCCGCCTTGCTAACGGGATCCGCAATGGCTCGACTGGCGGTGCCTGCCCCGGATGATCTCAGTCATCGCGAATTCACGCTTGCTCCCAGCGATGTGACTGTCGAAAACGACCCGTTTGCTCTACGTTTCTCTCCAGACTCTCAAAAAAAAGAGACAGTCGCAAAGGCGATTAATAGTTTGTGCGCCAAGTTCAAAGACGATGATTGTTCCGACGATCCAAGCAAATGGTGCGCTGTCCGACAGAGTTCAGGGCTATGGTTGCGAGCTGAAGTGTTAGCCTGTTACAGGTAAGTTGGTCGCCTGTGATCGGAGTATGTTTTTTTGTGTTCAATATGTTCAAAAACGTTCAATAGAGGTGATGGAATATTTTCATTTACCTACGCTTTCAAAAGCTAACGAACAGTGTCACATATACGGGATTTGTTTTCATGTACTGAAGTTGTTGCTTCATTCGCCTTTTCGATCAGACGGTTTTCGTTGAGTTGTTCGAACATATCTGGTGTTCGTGCAGCGTGGACACTCAACGCTTCTCAGGACTGTATTTGTAGTATAATTCAGCGACAAGTTGCTAAAATTGCAGAAATAGAAGGCATTTGTCTTACTTCATCTGTGCGAATCAGCTTGATCGCAGCAAATGTTTAGAGACTATCGACGTAGAGCTATCAACGTTCGAGCGATTTTTAACCTTCATAAAAAGAGTGGAAATTACATATTCCATTAGGTACCTTTCACATTACTTAGTGTCATTTGTTTAAGTCGCGTATTATAGCGTATACTGTATTATAGTAGCATGCTTAATATGCCGCATCGAATCCTTGTTAATGCTGAAAATACAACAGTTGCTTTTGATGTTGTATAGCCGATTTTGTCACGAGCCAAAAAAACTCTCCTTGAAACAGTTGCAGTTGGAATATCTGATTAGTTCTTCTGCGGAAGCTAAACGATATGTTTTTTGGCAACTTTCAGTGATGAAGACAATTTTGTGAATTCGGCAGAAGTGCAGCACATCGACGAGGGCTTCAAAGAAATTGTTGATATAACTAACATCTTTCCGGTACGTTGGTGCACTACTGCTAAATGGGCTTTTTGCAGGCTCACAGAACATGTATTCGATTCTGTTTAATATCGATGGAGTGTTTTTGCTAAAATATAGGTTGAAAACTATACGGTATGTATAACGTGGTAAAGGAACAGTGATAACAACCGAGTAGCAAGTTTTGAGAACACATTTATACGTAGACAAATGTTTGAGCAAATGAGCAACACAACGTGCTGTACTTACCCCCTTTTAATGACATAGAGAAAGTGGTCTCTGTCCTATTAACTGTGAGCAACTAACGATATTATTGTTACTAAATGCTCTTATTTCGTTTCAATGAACTTTTAGCTCGACCAGTCGTTGTTGGCTTATCCGCCCCAAAGCATTCGCGTAATTCCAGATCAGGTTATAGTCAAAGATGTCACAAAATTAGTTCAGCTTTTCAATGAGTATCCGGATATGAAGATTCGAATTCGGATAAAGAATACAAAAGGGAAGTCAGATCGGCCTTACTTCATGGCTCTGAAAAGCAGTTTTGAGATTGGCCACGAAGAATTCATCGATTTCGGTGAACTATGTGAGAAGTAGGTGACATTCAAACAACAAGTGGTTTCAAGCAGTCGAGTTTGACATTTAAAATCAGGAAACTATTATATATTTTCAAAATTGGAAGTTATAATAGTTTTTATGGTATACCAAAATTGCAGAAAACCTCCGACACAATTGATTCCCGCTGAAGTTCATATCAACCTTGGAAATATGATACTAAGCAAAAATATTAACGTATGCGTACTCACTTATCTTCCTAGCAAGAACGTGAATTTCCTCTTTTTTTTCTACTTGCTGCGAAGGTACTAACATTAGCTAGTCTTGACCCTCCAATTTGAAAACTATGCCTGAATAGAATTTTTATTTTCATCTGTGTCTTCCTTCAAGGCTAAATATTGGTTATCGCATAAAGGCACAAAATACCGCAGCCGTGACGGTAAATAGTGATGATAACGACGTAGTTTCCGTAGAAAAACTCCCGGAAGGGCTTGCAAACAGCGAAACGGGAAATAAAAATAATGTGGAGGATGTAAAGCCGCCATCTGTTGTATCAACAGAAAGTGATACATCGATGGTCTTTGAAAATACTGATATGTGTACAAATGCAGAAACAACTTCCGGAAGAAAAAAGTCCTCCGACGATTCAGACAGTTCAGCGGTAGTGTCGCCAAAACGATGCGAAACACCCAAAGAAAATGCAGGAGGCGCCGGTAAGAAATTAGCAGCGGAAGAAATACGTGAAACAATACAATCGTAAATAGCAGATGGTTTTTGTAACACGTAGGCGGCAGTACAAAACTACCAATTTTTACCAGGTCAGTTAGTGGTTTCCGTAAGTACGTTGTTCAGGAGGGCCTAGGGGTCGTTTCTAACTGGATCATTCATTTTGCTGTCGCTCTGTAAACTATTAGTATCATCCCTCGTGTCTTGCAGCATTTCAACCTTTGTTAGGTTCCTTTTGTAACAACCCCCTTCCTTTTTTTAAAATGTGCTTTCTTAAAACATAACAACAATTTAGCTTAGATTAAATACGGACGAAGGTAATTTTCAATTTGGTTGATGATGTGTATGGACGTAGGTACAAATAATTACATCCCAGTTGGTTGATAATGTTCTAGATGAATGCTTGGAATTATCACAGCAAGGCGTAAATTGGATGGTGCGAAGAAATATGCAACAAGCTAGCCGGATCAACGAAAGGACTGAGCGGAAAATCAAAACCTGCATCAGGTCAGTAAAGCTTAATTAATATATTTTTTTTAAAGGGACAGGTCAAGTATGCATTAGCTCAATGATGCAACTACAATTATAACAACCACGAATTTTTTCGTTTATTTTCTTATTATAAGCGAACATCGTAGCCTCTAACAAAAAGACTGTAGGACTGTATTTGCGCAGAGTCCTTAAGATCTACACAAGTGCAAAACTAGAAAAAACACGTTATGAGCAGCGTGCTTGGCTTATCGCATAAGTACGTACCAGTTCCGTAAGGTATACATCCTTATTGCAAAATCGAAACAGAATCAATGTCGCCGATTCCCATAATTACAATTTTGTTTGTTAGAATTGTTCAAATGATTTTTTTTCCTAAAAATGCATGCCTTTAAAAATTATATGTATTAAAAAAAAATAAAAAATTATATCTCTGAAAGCGCATTTGATGAAAGGTTCTTTCCGAATTTAAATTTGTCTTGGTGGTTACAGCTTTTTGCGTTTTGGTATGTGTGCGGTTGGTAATAATTGTCCGAATTCTCATGATCTAACATCAGAAAACACAGTTGTGAGGGGTCGAAATCGCTTCATATACGAGTGCTTGTCCATCGAACTACACCAAAGGAGCATAATGTAAGCAATTATCTCTCCAAAATAATTAAGAGGTAAATGAATAAGATAAGAATACGTTTAAGTTAGAGAACTGTTAGTGTCCAAAGTTTTAAATCAAATTTCTGACATACTGAGACATCCGGGATATTAGCAATACTAACAGAGATTTGACTGACGATTAGGGTAATTCCTGGTGCCAAATGACTGCTTCCGTGCCATCATTTAGTTATACGGGGACGTTCATCATTGCTGAAACTAGTTAGTGCTGCGTAAAGGAGTAAAGGTACAGTATAGGCTGAACCTTTGTTAACAAATGCCATTGTTTTATTCTACTTGCTGTGGTACACTTTTCAGGTTCGTAATGATTTCACATTTAAACGAAGATTTCTACTTTTACGTGGTTCCTGTATATGGTACTCAGGACATATGGAGCGTTTTGGAGCAAAAACATCTCGCTGCAATCAACGTAGAAGAAATTCAAACGAGACTTTACGAATTTTATGGACCGCAACGAGTAAGTACAGTGAATTGATGAAACAAACGCGCTTGTTGAAAACTCCAGATTACACTGATTGTCGATTGCTAAATGTCAACGAACTTCTACGCCGTTGAGAAATCTTTAGTTTAGATCTTTTTTTTAGTGATTTAGAGGACAGAAATTATATGATTCAGATCATAGAATACGGTTAACTTTTTTATTTTACATTGAATGAGGACTAAAATAAAACGCTTAGCTCTCAGTGTCAAAAGATCTCAGATATTTGGAAACGTTGAACTGTCAGGGTTTACCTAAAGGAATCAATTGACGATATACTCTCTTTTTTTTTTGAGCACAACGACAAAAATATGTTAGGTTAATTTAAAATGGGTTTTTACGCTATTCAAATGAATTTTTCAGTAATACCTTTATCGTGCATTTTCCACTTTGTCCCATATTTGCTTTATGTTAGCCTCGTGTGGATTATTCGGAAGCCTAAGTGAGATGTGTAAAAGCGTAAACCTTCAATTTCGAGCAGCCCATGAAGTATATTGGTAAATTTTATTAGTTAATTCTAAATAAACCCCCGAGAGATCATACTAATGAACTCGCAAAGCCATGCGACGTGGATACATTAATGTATAGCTGATATAACTTATATTACAAGTAAAAACCTTCTACATGCGCAAGCGCGAGTTTGTGCTTTTATTTTAGAACATACTTGTTTCCAAGTCTAGCTGATCACCGTGTGTTCACTATAAATAGAATGACCCGGGTCCTATACAATGTCGTGGCAGACAGCTGATTTCTTTCGGCGAAGTTGTTTGCCTACGAAACACATAAACGAACGTGTCCTTTCCGGACATTTTACGTTTCATTTCTACTTACCTTTCTTAAAAAAAAAAAAGTGGTACTAAAAGAGGTAGAAAGACGTTTGATTTTCAGTCTAGCCAAGGTATGACCTTGCCTACTCTTTATATTCTCCATATAGCTATATCCTCCAGCCTACTTTTTAATGTAGGTTAAAGAATATAAGTTAGCTACTATTTGCCTTTTTAACTCGTTGGAGCAGCATTACCCATTTCAGAACGGTGAACCTAGTCTCTGAACTGTTACAAAGGTTGTGTAACGTTAGCTGAGTTTCTTCCATTGTGCCTAACTACGATTCGGTAATAAACCGATAAACGGAGAACGAAGCACCGCAAGAGTCAGTCATTTTTAAAGCCGGTTATCCACTGGAGCGATGTAGAAAACGACAAGTTTTCGCTGACCGTGATGTCGCCCGAAATTTTAATGCATGAGCTTTTCAATAGATTCTAAGTTTAGGTTTCACTTAAACTGTGAAAATTTGTGTGAGTTATCTTGGAGTACATTATGCAGTCATACCGATTATTTTACAGGAAGGTATGGTGCCGCGTGCTGGGTTGTTAATCGGCCAAATGGTGAGTGTGTACGTTAATGAAAATCAGGGGCCCTCTGGATGGCACCGTGGGAAATTGTTGGAGATGGATGCGTCGAATAACCAGTAAGTACACCGGCCTGGTTATGCCTCTGTAATTAACTTTTGCGATAAATATTAGAGTATTAATTTTTGTGACTACTATGTCAGGTGACAAAATGATGAAATATGCAGTATGTTACCTGGTGCCTGAAGTCAATCAACTTCGGACGTCGGGTAAAGCGTTCAGTTCTAAACAACGTATGTAATAATGTGTCAAAGGCGATAAACCACAGTAATCGGATGGCTAATATGTTAGTGACGTATAGAATATGCGGCGATGTTTCTCTCTATTACAGATACAAAATATTTCTAATTGACCATGGCGGTGAGGTGTGGGTGCCCACTTCTAATGCGTTCAGCCTTGAGCCAAAGTTTCTGGAATGGCCGACTCAAGCTATTCGCGTGAGCCTAGCAGGTAAGTAGCTTGATATGTATATTATGAAACGCACATGTTTTTTGTGTAATATGGAACGTCTGAAAAAAGAGATTCACATTTCAAGATTGGACAGTCACGATGTTAAAAGATAGAAGTACACCAGGTTATAAGCTAACAATTGCCTTTCGGGTATTTGTGTGCTTTTCAGATGTTAGGCTTAAAAAAGGCGTGCTAGTGAGCGATATCATACCGTGTTTGATAAAACATGTCTATATCATGCAAGTGGATGAACGGTCGACGGTCGACGAATATGTTGTAAATTTATTCTCTGACGATGGCGTTACCTCGTTAGCCGAGGCTCTCGAAAGTAAAGGCTTCATTGAATTCTTAGACGAACCGTACGAGCTAATGATGCATTAGCTACCACTAGAGGCTCGTCGTAAACGCTTTGGTGCGAGTTTACCACAAAGTTTAAAGTCGATCAGCGAATTAGAAGTTCGAAGTTGATGTTAGTAAACTAACAGCTACTTTTCGTTTGCCATGCTTCTTCGCATGCTTTCATAGGTCACGATAGTAATCAAACGTTCAATCACCCCCTCACCACCCCCCCCCCCGCACACACACACACACTTCCGTTCCGTATCGCTTCGTTCCTATTTTATGCTTCTTAGTAGTGCACGTACTTATTTGGCCGGTAGCGAATATATAGCGGATAGACTTGTTCAACGAGTCTTAATTAGAAACCCATTCCGTTGTTTTGTGACTTATCCTGCACGGATGACATTGCACATGACATTCAAACTTCCACACGAGCGTTCGCTTCCCACCATAATTATCTTTGCGTCAAGATACACTTGGTTTCAAACAAACATTTGTTGAGTTTTCTGTACCGTGGTTTTTATGCAGAGCTTCCTTAGTATGCTTTTTGTCATGTTATTTTTGTAATAACTTTCTAAGGTGCCTAAACTTAAAGTGCACTACTTACTTAATTAGTCGATGATAAAGTGTTACTATCTATCGATCGCACTAGGATACGAAAGTATCACTTACGTAGAAATTATGAAGTGTGAGATGAAGGCATAGCTTGAATTATAAGCTAACACAAACCATTGAAGTATCTGGTTCCTATAGAGTATTTCTACTTGTTGAAAAATACAGTGCATAAAGGTTGTGGGCAGTCATGCGTGGGTAGCGTATAGTTAACGTTGGACCAGATACCACTGAAATTACGATAGTTCACTGTACCATAAGCTTATGAAACATGCTTACAATGACGTCTTGTTCAAACAAACAAGGATGAACTAGCTAATCCGCCATAACACGCATTATATCTGAATTGCACAAGGCATTTTTTGGGTATTTTTAGTAGCTTTAAAGATTTCAATTGGTTCGTTTAGGTCAAATTTAAAAATTAGAACAATTCAATACAGGTGAATCAAAATGCCCGACTGCAATGCTATAGCATCGCCACCCTGCACGTCGCCGAGGGACAAACATCTCTATCATCATCATCATCGTCGGCAGCTTGCTCTTCTTTCTTCTATGATAACACTATTATCATCCACCACTAACTGTATTTATCTGTGTTACTGTAAGCTGCCTGAAGATATCGGCTGTCGAAGATATCGGAGGCTGCATTGTGTTGATTAGATTACTAAAAAAATGAAGACTATAGACGTTGTTCAAACTGTTGCTTTAACGTTACAATGGCTGGTGTAAAGTTTATAGGTCTAAATGTCTATTGATTCCTATCGAAGTATAAATTTAGACTCCTATTAAAATGACAGCTTTAGTTAACGAACAAACCTACAGCTCATGGTAAAAATGGACGTTATCTACTCGCCAGCTAAATTACGCTGCTGAGACGCGTAGCTTAACCGAGGACCACTGGCATTTTCTCAAAAAACATTCACAACGCATTTATATAAATTTATTTTTTTAAATTTAATATCTATACCGTCAATGCATTTAACGTAAACCATTCTATTGTCATTTTTGTCTTGATTCATTTTTCACAGAGTCGCGATAGCTGTGTAATTACTTTGGCGTTCGCCCTTAGGCGTGACAGCGCGTGAAGAAAGCTAATCTCTCCTTGAATAAAGTAAGAGCCAAACAGTGCAATCGAAGCTATTTAATTAGTCTAACAGTTGCTTCTTGGAGGTTATATGACCCGAATCTATGTAAGTTTTATTTATATACAGCGCGAACTAGTCATATTACTAAATATATAATATTTTAGTTTTTTTCGACGTTCATAGTGCGTAGAGCCTGAGTATTAAAGGTGTGACACTTTTGCTAAATAAGAAAAAGCTGCGTGCGTACGCTGATAGTAATTTGTGACTGGATCATGTTCATCGATGAAAATTGATTCAATAAAAACGTAACTATTTTTTAATTTTGCGAAAGGAAAATGCAAAAATCGTATACTTAGTGCCAACGAATACTTTCTGAGAAAAGGCATTTGATCATTTCATTTGGACTCTCAGAAATTGTTAAAAGTTAACCGTTGCCCTACGGGGTGCGCCTCCAACATAATCAAGCATACCCTTGTCGTTGAAGAGACCTATCCGGCTGCAAACTACTAGCATCACTCGCGTTTATCAAGGCTACAATTTTCAGCGACGATACTGAAGACGATATTACTGTAAGATTTTTTTTTTGCTGGGTCTGGTTAGATAGTCATGTCGACTGGTATAAACTTTTCCTCAACAATGATCGACGTCTTACAGGACATATCAATGTTATTTTCCATCATGAAGCGATTATATGATGTTGTTGCCTTAGGTGGCAGTGTTTTACATTGCTTCCCAAATATTATATTATCATAAAGCCAATAATATTTCGACAGACACTTGTTTTCTAAAACTAAGATAAAATTTAGACATATTTTTTTTTCAGCATTTCCTCTTGGATTCTCTATCGAAGCAGTACTCAACAAAGGAATAACTGAAACAGGATTGTTGGTGTCAACAGAATGTACAGTAACGACTTAATAACAATACAAGTATGGGACACTTGACGCATAAATAAGCATTTTAGCCTATATTTTAAAATAAGTTAAAATAAAGCAATGTCGACAAAATTGCCAAAACCCAGTAATGAAAAAAACAGCTCAACGCTAATTGAATGATCTTGGCGATCCTGCGATTGTATTGAAGCCGGATGATAAGAAATTTCAACAAGTGAACTACTATGTAACAACGAAAATGATTGTAAAGGAGCCACAGAGTATTTGCAACAGGATGCTGCGGCAGTAACATATTTGCCTACTTAAAGATACGTCAGATAGTTAGGTTTGAAACAGGACGTAAACAGACATCCGGTCGTCTTGTGATATCTAAGGCAATACCGTATGTGGGACTCGAAACTACTTCTCAACAAATTGACCCTTAGAATTCGGCTATGTGCCAACTAGGTTTAAATGCACCTTAGGCTGGACGAGAAGAAGTGAGCGGATTCTCTGGGCAATTCTATAAGCCATTGATTTCATAGACTGAAATAAGCAAATGTGATAGTCAGCACAAGCAAATGGTAAAGTGTAGTCCCAGCAGGGTTTGAAACATTACTTAAATAAGGCAGTGGAAGTTCAGTGGCGACCGGACCGGTTAACAGTATATAAGTGGTGCGTGCAGTGCATAAACCATCCGTATTCAGGAATAGTCACATACGCATGATCTAAGTCCACTCCGGCTTTAATCGCGTACAACAGTCACATGACAGAGTTTGGGAGGTTTACAAAGGAAATAATCATCTGTTATTGAGATACTTCTCGTTGAAGGGTAGATGTTAGGGGAGAACCTGCCATGAACTATCAAAGCGAAATGTATCGCATATATTCAGCGCTCAGACGAATAGCGTGGTTCTGCGTGGTACTTAGGTAGCGATGAATACTGTGATGCATATACAAGAGCGCGTATGCTTTTACAATAAAAACGGTGACGTTGTCATTGTTACTTGTTTTGTTTAAAGACGTTATCCAGGATATTTTTTTCGGGTTCGTCCTTTCTGAAATAAACACCACAAGCCTGCTTCACTTAGTAAATCAGTTAAATTATGTAATAAAGTGTATTTTGCTAATTGTCGTGTCCTCATTAACGCAACACATACCTTTTAACATTTGTTTCTAGACGTATATATATGTAACTAAACAACAACTTAAGAAGCATGTCGAACGGAAACCGAGTACTAGGATTTGCTTTCTGTATGTAGTAGAGTTCCGTTTCCCGTAGCTTATTTGTTGTGGCTTGTGTATTTATTTAGAATTGAATTAAGTTATTGCATCCTCCGTTACTCCTCCTTTTCCTTAAGTTTACTAGGAAATGCATGCGAAACGGGTGACATCATTGTCAAAGTTTAGCATCGTCGCATAGCTCGTAAGGTGACAAGCCAATTTGAGCAGTATAGAGCTAATTCGTCTTCATCTAGTATATAGAATCCCGAATTTGACTCCTTTATCGACGGATCTTATGCGTAACTGAAAAATCTGGTTTTTGTAACCTTAACCCTTATTGGGCTATAGACGTTGTTTTATGAAAGAGCGTCGTTTTCTCACCTGCCCCACGGTTCGAAGGCTTAAACAAATTGAACATACTTTGCATCACATTGTTCTCCATTTTGCTTGCTTTCTTTTTTATATTATGAAGATGCCCCCGTTAGTTTGGAAGAAGCGGATATAATAATGTCCGTTACGACGTATAGAGCCTCCCTTATAAGCTATAGAGCTAAGCAAAATTTGGACGAACAACAGGTTAAGCAAAACTTGCAGGTATCACTGTAACATCGTCGAACGGTATGGCTGATACATAAAAATGGAATATTTATCCACTGACAAATCTAGGATTGCGCGGATCACGAATTAGGCAGATCGCCTGTTTTGGTGAAGTTCAACGAGCGGGCGATATAGCCCTTGTGATAGCGCAGCGGACAACGCGTTTGCCTCCTAAGCTTAATGCCGCGCAGTGATATAGGTCCAAATGCAGGCATACCACACTGGGTTGTACACAGTCATGTACAAGAATGCCTAAAAGCTTCAGTGCCTGACGCAGAGGACAAAAGAACAAGCAAGCGGACGAAGTTGGTCTACCTTTTGTGACGTCAAAGGTATGGGAAATACGAAATTTATTTAACCTTACTGTTATGCGCTTGACACTACCCCCCAAAAGAGAGCTGTTTGTATATACATACACTATATATGTAATCAAAAGACACGTTTCAAATGATAAAGCCGGTCGATGATGGAAATGACAATACTGATGATTACTATTTGCAGGAGAACATTTATAAGATACAATGCATGTCTCTTTACGCGGTGGCTTCAGTGGTTAGGTTTGGATGGCTTGGGAGAAAAAGTAGGCGATCGCGGTTTAACGTTCGATCATGCAGTGTTTACTAAACCGGTTTTTTGTCAGATATGTATAAATAAATATAAGGTCACTTAAATTCCAAATAGTTATGATACGCATAAAACGGCACTATTGCACTAGGCCGGCCCTTTATGAAAAGCCCTTCGAATAATTTGTTTTTAATTTCAGTTACAAAAAAATTGTGCAGAAACATCGACGCGCACGCGGCCTTACGGACAAGCTTTCTCAATTCTATAATGTTTTAGAAATAATTGTTGCACTTTTTAAGACTTGATATGTGTTTCCCTTGATGAAAATACATAATACGATTTGTTAACGAGTTTCGGGCCCCCTGGTTATATCTAGTTGTCATGTTACAGCCTTTCATTCATATATTGTATGAACGCGTTCTTTTACCCATATTGTGCAATGGGTTCGTATAAATTTGGTTCCATCGAAAGCCCACTACGGGATGTACAGCTATTTATTCTTGATTATATCATTATAAAGATTTAGATGAAACGTAATATATATATATATATATATATTTAAAGTAAGCGAATGCATCTCAAAAATACGTCGTGTATATAATAAATAAATGTTCCAAAGTTTTTGCGTCCGCCACTGCCTGAGGTTCCTCAGACGGCTTGAGATTACCAAAACTTAACCACTTTTATCGACATAGGTGTCAGGCAACCAGGCAGCATATGGAAAAAAAGATATTTTGTGCAAGAGTGATACTTTTTTAGCACCAAACTTGTTTTACTATTATTTGAAAGGATTACTTTTTTTGTTTAGCATGGACAAGTTATCTGTTACATGCTTGCTTCAACCTATCGCAGCAAATTTCTATATGCCTCGAGATGCCTGTATAGCTGATTTGGACCCTTCTACATGACACATGCCTGATTGTTCGTATTGGACTTTTATCCTAACAAGAAGGCAGCTGCACCGATTCCTGTGGTAGAGGGCTCGGCTGATGATCAGCTACGGAAAATGTGCTTCACCTGTTCACTGCAGTCATCTAAAAATAGGGTTCGTGCGGTACGATTAGAACATTATCTAGTTATGTGTAAGTGTGAAACAGTCAAACCTGATGCTAGCGACGCTGCGGATTATAGGCCGTTGAGACGGACCTAATCATACGGACAACAGGAAGACACAAATTGGTACGACTGAAGTGATTTAATTACGTGACGTTGCCGACGACTTGGCTATAGCGGATCTACTTCGGCCGGTCCCAGCTGGTGCACTGAACTTGTAAACCAGATGGTAATATTTAAACATTTAATCAAGTGTCTGAATCAATAATTTAAGACACATTGTTAAAAATGATTCAAATGTATGCATTGAAAATCTGATTCGTAGATTGCTCAGAAATTTTAATCAGAATGCAGGTTGACTAAAACAATATCGGTGTTCAATGCGATGTTGGTCTTTAAGACACGCCAGTAGCTAACAAAAGCTGAGGACCAGTGGCTTTTAGTATTACAGCATATCTTTTTGCCCTCATCTTATCAGAGGTGATATCTAACCTAGGATAAATCAGGGAAGTATTTGCTTAGCCTCGCGTCTGGAACCCGTTGAATAGATAGTAACCTTGACACGAACTGTGATTCAAACACAACAGAAGACTAAAATAACATTAATTTACTTGACATCTAAGAATCGCAATCGTATTCAGTACACTTCAATACCATACAGTAACGTGGTGTTGAAGTGCATTTTATGGTAAGCAATTTCTCGTTTCTTCCCTTAGACACAGCTACCTTTGTGTCGATGCAGGCGGCCCAAACCGTGAGAACTGTATACAGTCTTCATGTCGTCTACCTGAATTCTGAACTAGAACAATTCTTGGGCTACATAAAGAGATTCTACTCAACTTGATCAGAAGCGTAAGCTTTTATTTCAGAACAATGTCAAATTCGCTATGCCAGCATCTTTTTTAGTCTGAGAATTCCTTGAGGACGCCATAGTTCATCTCACGATAACAAGTAGTTTAAAGATGTTGCAAACTTGCTGACCTTGCTGGCACATCGATCCTCTACAATAAGGTCTTAAAGATAACGATGGCAGCTGGTGTATTTTATATGGGTTGGTTGTGCGATACCGTTCTTCGTGACCGTCCAGAGTGGACCTGATTTAATACAATGTTACGCGTCAACAGTCTACTGTTTATTGAGCGATAGTTGTGTGTGCATGTTTGTGAAATTGGTCGTATGTGGCTATGCGATACGTGCATCTGGCTACCTGGAATAACAATGCTGTACGAAACTGTTCAACCGGTCGTACTGCAAATGTACAAAGCGCAAATTATCGGCCTCGTCAGTTCCTCAAAGGGGATCAAGCAGTGTAATTATTACGGAGTGAGTTGTTCGCCAGCGTCGAGCTTACCGCAATTTTCATTCCACGTTACGTCAATATAAATTCTATAAATATACTCTTTCCTTTCCATGATTACTGAGTGACGCCGGTCGCTGGTAGTTCCTAAGGTCACAAAACAAGATCAGGGACAGCTCGTTGTGCCCCTACTAATCTACATTTTCACGTAGTATTCTGTTTTTATACTAACAAATTGATTTATAAATATATCATAAACATATTCTCATGGAGCAATATACAAAGCGTTTAGGCTAAATGTCATCGTGTGTGATGCTCTTGAACAGCAGTTTGCTGGTCGAGCCTCGTCAGCGTCAGTGCTTCATTACTAGTATAAGTAACTAGTCGATAAGAAGCCCAGTTAACGCTTGAAGAACTGTACTGCATGAGTAAATCGTGTATGGATAGTTGAGAATATGAAGAATCAGTTTCTTGATGTGAACGCATCATTTTACAACGTCGATCGTCTTACGTCAAGGACGCACGCCCAGCGATGATGTTTTTGTATCTGAGTGCCTTGGGTAGGACTCCTTTATGGCAGTGTTGATTGGAAAATTGACAAGTTAGAAATAGCTTCTCCGCAATCTGGTGCGATCTGAGACAAATCCGGATCTTGGGCTCAACAAAATTAGCGTGCACGCCGACTATTGTCTTACTTCTGTTGAAATCCTTACGGGCTCATGCATTCGTTTATAATGAAAGCAAGTTACATGACAAGAATTACTCGGGAGAAGATTCTAGTTTCTACGTTAGAAAACTTTTCTTTGAAAGCAATTTTACGATTTGTGTGCTTACTATTCACTTAATCAGATGGTTACCCCCACCGAATGATAGCAACTTGCCGCGGAAGAACTGGCCCGCAACCAAACTACTGATGATTCTTTCTATGTATGGACCTCACCTGTGTTAAATGAACACTTTTAATACATAGGATAGATTTGAATAGGTAAAATGGGAATGAAATTATACATATTCTTACATGTCGATAGAATCCATAATAGAAACATGAATAACTTGTACATAGCATAGAGATAAACGTTCGATGGACGTCGAATGAGCTATGAAATGGTATCTGCTATCAAATATTATCTAATACCGACAACTTTGTTGGGCAGTAATGGACTTAACTGGGCGATTAATTATTTATAAAGTCTAATTTGTATCTGCGGTAAAATAGTTTATATATATATATATATATATATATATAATAGAAATATCGTTAAATTTTGCGTACCAACCTGTACCCATAAGTTATGTTGTTTTCTACTCCTGTCACTTACATCTAGTGCCCTCTCACAGGATATTTCAGGAAAAATAGTATATGATAACGATATTAAAACGTAGTTG